CTCGTGGAGTCTTGGGGTAAGGACAGCTCGATGCCTACCACCAGAATGAGAATGTAAACATCAGTTTTTTCGGGGAGGGGGCTTGGTTAATTTAGTGGGCTTTGTTTCTGTTTGTGTTGTGGTTTTAATTTGGGTAGCGCTGATGTGGAGAAGGTTCTGACATAGTAATACATGGGTCTGTTGCTCTGTAAACTCTTATAGGACATATAAACTCTTGGGAAAAAAGAAATACGCTTGCCAAATGGAAGGTTTCAAAAAATTTAGTTTACAAGATCCCAAACAGTTGGAAAGAAAGGAAGAAGTCAACGACCCATCATGTTTTTAACCTGCAGGAAACAGAAACTTCTCATTGGCTGATCTTAGTCAAAGGTGCATTTTCTAAAGCACTAAATATCCTCAGTTAAGTCTAAGGTTTTTAATACAGAAACAAATTGTGCATGTAGAGTATTTTGCAATACCTGAGATTTCCTAGTAAAAACTGTAGCCTTTTAATACCGTATATGAAGTATCAGAACTGCTTTGGAAGTATTGTACTTACAGCCGTACAGTAACTTACTATTTGTGGACAGTTTCTCTTGCTTGCATAATAAACATTTAATAATTCACTGAATTGAAACGTATTTTATTTATGTTAAAATCAGCCATGCTGGCTCTTGCATGCCCCATAAAAATTAAGAGGAAAAACACTTCCTAGTGCTTAGATGCTGCCATTCACAAGTGTGTGTGTCACAGTAGTGCTTTTACATTAAATTTTTCTGAAAGTGACATTTGAACAGTCAAAACTGACACTGAACCTCAGACCCAGGGCTCCACTATTTCTCAACCTCGACACTTTGGCTTCCCTGACATTACAGGAGCACATAACATCTTCCACAGAGAAACAGGATGCAGATTTTGCTTTTATTCCATCAAGGAGTGATTACAAAAAGAAGGTACACTGGTAAAAATCAGATTCTGCCAGTAACAAACATCCAGTAAACATTTTATTTAGATGGATAATCACCACTGGGATGCAGGAACTCGCGCTTGTGCCCACCCACACTGTCTGAAGCTCAGGACTGTATGATTACAACACGCTGATTAGGATTGATTCTGGAAGACAGTTTTAGCAAACGGAAAACTCAAATTCAGAAAAGCAGTAGCCCCTCCAAGACTTAAGAAAAGACTAAATTCAAAGCAGTGTCTGAAAGCTTTGCTGCTCCCTATCATCCAAAGTGTTTTGGTTTATATGTGAACGTAGAGTTTAAGTGAAGAGGAAGCCCTCAGGGAGACTCAAACACTTTTGCTGGGACCCTCATCCAGCTCAGGGTTGTGCTCGCTCCTCTGTCCCTGTATCTAAAGCCTCAAGTCTCCTCTCTCTGAACTCCTGTGTAAGACACAGATTTCTGTCAGTTCCTTTCACTGCTTGCCAGCAGAAGTCCTGAAACACGTCTCCAAGCACTCCACCTTTCCTGCTCCCTGCTTCCAAGGTCATCTTTGGCTTTTCGTCTCCACTCCACCTGCAGACCCCCAGTGAAGCAGGTCACCCAGGACTCTCCCACCTTGCCTGTGCCACTCCTGTGTGCCAGAACCTTTAACACAACACACGCCGAGCAGGCAGATCCCCGAGTTCTGGGTGTCACAAACACCTCGTGACCGCTAACTCCACAGAGGGAGCTGAGAAAAGACAAGATGTGGCAGTGCAAAAAGCCCATGAAGTGCTTGAGCAGCTGCAGGAGCTGGAGTGCCCTTACACACAGGGACACCTCCCTGCTCCTGCAGCTGGAGGCAACAGAAAAAGCAGCAATTAAAAAATAAAAAGTCCTCAGAAAAAAGCAGAACAAACTCCATGTTTTTTAACGAGGAAGGACACTTTAAAGCTTTAGTGAGTTTGCTGTCCCATTCCTTCCACTTTTCCCTTTTGACAGGAAGGCACACGTACAAACACGCACACACACACACACACAGATCCAGCCTGGCTGAGGTCACACGTTCAGTGCCACGGCTGGAGGACGTGGTCACCACAGGCTGCACCCTGCAGCGGCTGCAGCGGGCCGAGGTGCAGCTGGGAGCTCTGCACTTCAGCCATCCCCTTGTGTATCTGTCCTCTGAGCTTCACACAAAGTAATGAGGACCCCAAAGCATCTGAAAATGCAGTTCCAAAATCGAGACTGGGAAGATGATCAGGCAATGGAATTGTTTTTCTTCAGCTCCTCCTTGATTCTCATGTTCTAAACATGGGCAGTGGAGTGCATCCCACCACAGAGCATAGCGCAATTTTGGGAGTGATAACAGACTATTCTTTCCTCTTTTACACCTTGTGTTTGTCTGGTAGCTCTGTTATGGGTAAACTCACCTGCCAGCAAAGGAATACTTTAAGAAGTTCGTCATAATTGCACCAAGGTTTAAATGTATCACCATTCACCCCATAAATACGGAAGGCTGGGAGGAATTACCTGTGTCACAGGAGGCACAGGCACTGCTCCCTGGGACAACGAGCGCTGGTGCCCCTCGAGCAGGACGGGTCACAGCAGCTTCAGCAGGAACTCGTAGGTGGCGTTGATGATCCCCCAGGACAGCACAGAGCGGTGGTAGTTCAGGTGGGCTCCTCGGAACAGGTGCATCACCTTCCTGTCGCGCTCCAGCCAGATCTTCGCCAACACCTTGGAGAAGGACTGGAACTCGCCACCGATCTGAGCTTGCATGCGAGTCTTTACCACGTTCACAGGGAAGAAGAGGAAGCCCAGCAGGGCGCCCAGCAGCCCCCCGCAGATGAAGTCGTTGACCAGGTGAGAGCTGTACGAGGTGGCCTCGGGCAGACTCTGCTTGATGGGCCCGCGCAGCCCGAAGAAGAGCACGTTGCTGGGCCCGTTCCGCAGCAGGATGGGCACCAATCCCCGGTAGTACTCCCGCACCCCGTAGGCCCTCAGCACCCTGAAAGCCTGGAAAGTGTTTGTGAACTTGTCGTGGTGCTTGTAGTCCTGCAGCAGCGTCTGCACGCGCT